ATATCCACATCCTTATTAACAAATTGTTTACAATTTCTTATTTTGTGCTCGTTACTATTACACACTGGACATACCTTGGCTGTATTGGCCGCCGTGTGAAATACCCTTTCCTTGACAACACTGTTCTTACTTGACTTAGAACCTAAAAATTCAAGCGCCCTATAGCGGCTTGTTAAGAATTCTTTGAGCTGTCCGAATGTAGGCAACTCATCCGAATCTATATTGCTAGTTACCTTTAATTCCCAATCCTTTCTGCTGTTAGGATCTAGTTTTAATGCTACAATGTGAATTATTATAATGTCCCAGGAAGTTACATCAATATCCAAATTCATTAACGCATTTAAGCAATCTGATGTTGTGTCCATTAATTCTTTTAACGCACTAGCTGACTCTTGCATAATATTTTTCTGACAAAGTAACCTTCCCAAAATACAATTAGATAAATATTTCCTGTTATTATATCTGGTCTCTAACTGAGTCCAGCATCTTTCATAATTAGATTCTGAAATTGGTATATGACGGAGGAGCTGTTCGGCTTCCCCAGTCAAATAACTTTTCAAATAATGCAATTTTTGGACATTGTCAATAGTGCTATTCTTGTGAATTGCTGACACAAATAAATCACGAAAAGTGGGCCATTCGGTATATTTCCCGGAAAAAGTGGGAATCGTTATTCTCGGTAACTTAATAGCTATGCCTTTACCAGGTGAATCATTATTTGACGACATAGCTGAAGGAACGTCACTATTCTTAAATTTACTTAATGCAGTTTTTAATTCGCATCTTAAATCTAAATACAATTCTTCAGTGTTAAAATAGACCTCGTTTACAGTATAAGGCGAAGATGTTAACTCCTTATGATCAAAATCTTTAACCATCTGTGTATGTGTTAAAGTAAATTCTGCCCATAACTCTTCAATACTTTCTAATCTAGTTTGCAAATATTGTACAGTAATCCTATCTTTGGGAGACTTTTTAAAATTACTTTTAGCCCTTGACAATCGGATGTAAATGTCATCTTGCACCTTAACATGTGATTGCAAAGACATTTTGAAGCACAACTTCAAGAAAAAACAAACAGATGCCAAAAATAAAGTACAAGTCTATTATAAACAGCAAATAGTTTCTATATGTGTTTGAATTTTTATAAGTCCATGTGGACATCCAAAATTTTCTAAGTGTTTGAAACTTAGAGAATCTACTAAAAATCGGGCATAGGTTCCCCGTCTGAACACAATTTGGCTTAAATCTAACTAAGTCTAACATACACACATAACAATTATTCTAAGTCCAAGATTTTTTCTAAGTTAAAGTCTTCTAGGCAATAAGGTTAACTTTTGCTTGATACGAAACAAATCACAAAGTACTCACGTTTTTACGCACTATCACTCACTTCCTTACGACGTCAGTCGTTTACAGCTTGCTTGCTGTTGATATCAGCGCCCGCCAGGTGGCGCGCCGATCTCAGGTTTGATGCTCAGCTACACTGGGATGCCGCCTCCACTGATGTTCAGCTCCAGAATCCGGAATTATCCGCACAATTGCTTGAACTACGGTGGCGCCCTCTGTCGGCGACACTGGGAGCACTTCAGTGGCGATCCACCACTGGTTTCTGTGCTGGCTGCTGATACCCAAAAACTCCGAAAAGCGTTATATTTATGACGCTTGATCCGGCTCGAAGGACCATGGTTAACCCTGGTTATCGTGAGGGTTAAGCTGGGGGTTGATTTGAATAAAAGTACTTGGTCGTGGTTACCGAACACTTATATTCCGAATTATTGTACAATAAAAATTACGATACAATAGCACGTGACAGATTGATACCAACATAAAATAAATTCTTTCGACACTTATACTATTGGCGGAGAATCTTAACACCGCGATTCAGAAAACGATCTCAAATAAAAAGCACCATCTATGAATGAATGTTGGAACACTTGTTCTCTGAATCGCGGGTTTCTTATATGTCAATCGCTTGGCGGTTAGACAGTGACCCTGACTTTGGTTGCATTTATTTTTATTATAGCATATTCTTCAAGGAAAATGAAAATGTTTAAATGTTATTTTTTCACCTTTTTTGTTAATGGAAGGAAAGATTGAAAGTGTGCCTAGATTAAATAGTGGTAAATAAACTAGACCGAGAAGCTCGAACATGTAGCCACACTTCGGTCCTTTAATCTTCTTAAAATTTCAAAAAGGCTCCCTATTTTGTCTTAGTCAAGAATCTAATTAGAAGAATCTCAGGAAGCGTTCCATAGAATATCAGTCGTAGCTTTAAAATCATAACATTTACTGTTTATTTATTTTTACGTACATGTTTATACATATGTATATATTTACAAGCTTTTAAAGGTACGTGCTTAACCTAAATAAATTGTGGTTAACAAATACAAAACCTTCAAGCCAAGTCCGCATTGAGGCAAGGCTGAATGCACAGCAGTAGGTATAATAACAAAGTACATACTGCAGACTGAAACGAAACTCATAAATAATTTACTTAGGTTCTCGACTTAGTTCATAAATTAAATACATTTCGTATAACACGGCTACAACTCTTCAAACCTTTCTGAAAATAGTTTTCCTGGGTCACCATGTCAGGTATCAGCCTATGCTGAACATAGGCTGATTACAAATCATTTATGATTGACTGGATATAAGTTCCTTGGTTCTTATGTGGCTGAGTTCCATTCCTGGATAAAGCTGCAAATAGCCGGATTTTGGAACAGTCATTCCTTATTAGGTAACTGAGTAATAATGTATGAGTAATAAAATAACTGAAGAAAAACCTGTAAGTAGTTACCTACTATATCTACCTACACAATACTATCGTATCGACATTGGAAACTATGTATAAACAGATTGATAAATCAATTTGTTTAACATTACACATAGAAAAACATGATAAACATGTGCTTAGTAATATCGATGAATCACGGACATATGCGCGTGCGCCGCCCTAGACACATGTTACTATCGATACTTAGTACAACACTAGTTACGACATGATAATGGTTCCCATAACATTGTAACATGTTGATGAGCGTGTTACAACTTGATTCATTCTGAAAACATGATTAATCATAACATAACATTACGCCTTTTATCCCCAAAGGGGTAGGCAGAGGTGCACACAGAAGTATGACACCCACTTTTCACTATTTATGTTATGAGTCCCGTGTAATAGCTATCATTAAACCATAATTTGGTACTTTTAAAACGTCAACAAATACAAAATAAATAATAGTCTGTGACTCTTTTTTAAAAAGTATGTACTACAATGTCTCTGATACATATTCCCATGCTGTATGTATATGTGAGAACAATGCAAAGACACGCTTGACGCATTATAGATACTGATTTCAAACCTTACTAAAATAAAAAAAATCTTATAGTCTAACACGGTGCTCACATATGCATACTGACAATCCATAAAATTAGCTAAATTTAGTAAATTCTCATTTCTACGTAAGCCACGTATATCTTACTCGGTGGCAACAATAAAACGGTTGCACTGATGATGTCACTGATATCTGCGCTCCCATGGAGCTGGGAGCCACATGACCGGCCTCCGTGCAACCCACTGATGGGCATGTAAGTCCCACGGGGAAAACAGTTGCTAAATTTGGTTGTTATTCTGTTGCCATGGTAACGCAAAGATGGCGATTGAAATTACGTTGAATCAAAGAATAAAACTCGATATTCCATACTAAAAAGTCGCATTAAAGTGTTGTAGTCGGAGACATTAATTAATGATTACTCAAACTATATCTTAGCAACGATTTTGTTCCAGAAAAAATCGCTAATAATAATCGCAAATGGAACATCTTAGTAGTATTAACTGCATAATAGTTTACAATTACTTACAACATTAAAAAATATAATAGTTTAAGCATAGGTTATTGAACCATTAATTAACATTTGTACCGTCATGAACAAATAACTTGTAAAATGTAGTTATTTTATCAAATAGTAAGAGTATAACATAACTGTTCCCCCGTCTGTCTGTCTGTCCGTCAGTGTTACAAAACGTGTGTAGTTGGTAGCAAAGTTCGATGTCACGATAACGATCTACCGACACACATCGCCACTGCATAACTTACATTTAATATTATAAAGACAATAAAAAATTAATTCGAAAACTGTAGATTGTCTAATGACCATTTCAGGCATTTCAATTATATTTTATCGACCTATTAATTTACTTATACATAAGTACTTATTTTAACATAAACTCTAAGTCTCAACAGCAATAATTTTCGCACCAAACTGCCCAGTTCGCAGTGTTCCTTGATGGTACGTCGCCAGATAAGTGCTGAGACAATGCACTCCTTGTTACATCACACGTACAATAGCCTAATTCTCCAACAATTGCAACAACTTGAAGAAACACGGAACAGTCAACACAATCGCAAGTCCAGCATGGCGACGGCGGCTCGGTGCGCGTGCGCCGGCGGCATGCATCCACGACACAGAATACCGTTTCTGAAATATTAATAATGAGTGAATAGTCCACTAATGAACATGAACAAAATATAACTCGGCGACCGTGGGACCCGTTCCCATGCCATTGTCGCGAACCAACTTTCTTGGGGTCGACAGCACCGGCTACCACTATGAATAATAATGCCTAATTAAACCGTGTTTATCCAGATAATTAATTAAATTGAACTGCTTTTGGAAAATATTTTGTAATTGAATATTTATCTGTTCTGCCTAGGACATTTTAACTCGTCGAGTACCGGTTTTGTAGACACAATTATAGAACAATAGGTTGCGGTCACCGGTGAACGCTTGGTGTTTGACAGTTTAAACAATGTTAGGTAGTTGATCAGGTCGTAACATGGACTCGATTATTATTTTTAAGTAACACACTACTGATACGGAGTTATCATTATTCGATCAAATTTCAGCAAAATCGCCAGCAATTACTAAGTATTTTAACTGTTACACGATGGAGTAGTAAAATTCACATAATTAATGCTTATTTCCATTGTCAACAGATAATCCTGGCAGACGAGTGCACGGAGGCGGAAGGCCGCGCGTGGCACATGAAGCACTTCGCGTGCGCCGAGTGCGCGCGTCAGCTCGGCGGGCAGCGGTACATCATGCGCGAGGCGCGCCCCTACTGCCTGCCCTGCTTCGACAACTGCTTCGCCGAGTACTGCGACGCCTGCGGGGAGCCCATCGGCGTCGACCAGGGACAGATGTCGCACGAGGGCCAGCACTGGCACGCTACAGAGCGATGCTTTGCTTGCCACACTTGCAGAGCAAGTCTCTTAGGCAGACCTTTCTTACCGAGAAAAGGAGCGATATACTGCTCCATAGCGTGTTCCAAAGGTGAACCACCCACGCCGTCTGACTCATCAGGTCCTGGACCCAGACCACCACGAGTGCCAAAGCCCAGAAGAATGCCATCACCTAAGACCCCGCCTAGAACACCCCCGAGAGAACCCTCACCTCACCACATAGACGCAGATTCTGAACCTAGTGAATCCTTGATACCAGAGTCGCCCCCACCGCACCCGCCTCCGCCCCCACACGCTTGCCTAAGTCTCGACAGAGCATTAGCAGATCTACGTCTAGAACAATCTATGACGGAACATCAAATACAACCCAGTCCGACATCTGAGGAACATAAAAACGAGTCAGCAGACGACTGGAAGCCTCCACACCCTGTGGAAGCGCAGGCAGTCGTCACTCCAGGACATTCATCTTCGATGCCAGAACTGACGCTGGTAGATGGTAAGTCACCTCGGAAACCGCGAGGGGGCCGGACAGTGAGGTTCTGCGGAGATGACAATGAAGCATTTGAGCCCGATGAGCCCCCACGGAGGGAGAAGGTGCGGGATGAAGACGCCAGTAGCTACTGCAGCACGTGTTCGTCGTCGTCATCGTCAGCAGAGTCGTATACGTTACCCACGCGGCGCGCGTACGGCGGCGTGCGGATATCATACGTGCCCAACGACGCCGTCGCCTGCGCCAAGAGAGAACGACAAAGGAAGAACGCTCAACACGACAAGAACTGCATCATCTCGTGATCCTGGCTCTACCTAGTGCCTCCCCCCTCCTTGTGAACCGACCTCCGATATAAAAGACTGACTTTTTGATAGATTTTTGTAGCCCCCACGCCATAGTAATGTTAGATAGAGTACAACAAGTCTTCCTTAACTGCTTTGATCTTGCCACGCGACGCGGCGGGCCTGCTGCCGAGTGTTGCTCGCGAATAATAGTAACCAGGTGCGCATGCGCGCGGGACAGCATGTCTGCGCCTGATCATGTTGTGACGTGCACAATAATAATCGTTATCTACATAAAAGGCTTAAATTGTCAAGGGTTTGGACAAATTTGTGTTCGAACCAGTAATTTGGGATTAATCGGTTTAAAATGTGACGGTGTCTTTTATAGGTAACACCTTTGTGGGTTTTATTTGTAATCGATCGTTTGGTCTGGCATTTACTGCACAAACTGCACGTTGGTTGTGAATGGAGTGCAAGGTGTGCAGACTGAGTAATGTATAGTAGAGGGGCCTAAAGTTAAGTTGATATAACGAGCGACGTCAGCTTTAAATTATTTCTGATTTAATATATAACTATGTGTAAACATATCGAATGCTTTCTCTAGTTTATTCTTGTTCATGAAATGATTAATTTAAGACATATCCCACTTTGCCACTTAGCTGTAGCTTGCTGTAAGTGTAACCTAAGCTAGGAGTAAGAGATTATTGTAAAATACGAGTACAAATATACAATATGTTATTTTGTATAACTGTTTTATATTGTTGTGGAATGTGTTCAGTGTAAATAAAGCAATGTAACGAGTTGTGAGGATTTGTATTCTTGTGTAGATGCTGTGTGCTTGACCAGATCAATGGGAACTTTAATGTAACTGATGCAGTACCAGTCACTGTATCACTACAATACTATGATACTTTGTGAAATTATAAATGGCTAAACGTAGTTCTTTACTCTTTCTAAAACAGCAACTTGAATGTCATTTGATAAATTATCAGAGACAGTAACTTTCAATGTCCTATTTAATCGATATGTAACCTTGTTTGTATACTTGATACTGACGTAACAATACTTTCCTAGACATAATACTCAATTCAAAGAGAATGCTCATGAAACTGCATTTGTTCCAAAAATGTGTATTATTAAATGAAAATAGGCGCTAGTTGTAATGAAAAACCACAAAATATTGTACAAATATATCGAAATGTAACAATAAATTAATTATGTACGTACTTTTTTAAGTTATTTGTAATAATATGAGGAGATGAAATTAAATGATTTGGAATAAAATCCTGTTTTATTGAGGCAAGAGAAGCTGGGACGCATTTTAAATTACAAGCTCCTCTTATATCTGTCAAACTTCTGCATTCGACTTTCAATTCTATTACAAAGTACATATGTATAGTAGATATCAATTGAAGTATAGTCAAAATCAAAGTGAAAAGAATTTACATAGACCAGGAAGGCACTTTTGACCATCAACAAGAAATTTAAAAGTGAAGCTATTTGCTCATTCCAAGTTGTAAATTGCTATGGAGAAGAACGAGCAAGAAATTCATTTTTTTTAAAGAGCAAAAATCGTCGAATTACTGCTCCCGCCTGGATGAGACGGGAGGGAGTGTGGATGTGATGTGTGGAGGGAGTGGGAGACTCATCAAATTCACAATACAATTCTTTAGTTACATAGTATACTATCAGTTTGGTAAACTTTAACCTACTATGAGTACGTAGCTTATTATCGACCGCTATGGACAAAAAACTGTTTAGTGATACAGGCTGGCAATTGGCCAGGAATACATTAAGTATGGGGGAAGCCGGGAAACGTTTTGCTTCAACTAAAGTTTAATTTATTGAACTGCAACCCTTCAATGTAATAAGTACCTCTAGTTATGTAGCTGATGACTTCGTAGCAGAAGGATAATAAAGTTTATAACAAAATACAGTAAGGTTCTTTTTTATATTCGATGGGTCAACGAGTGACCTCTATCTCGCCTGGTGGTAAGCTATAATGCGCCTAGGTTGGAGTACATCTGTCCCTAACCTATTCACTCGGACCTTAAAGACAGAAAATATAGTTCTAGAACTAAATTACAATGTTACTGCCGACTAAATAATCTCGGGTTTGATTTCTGGTTTAGGCAAAATGGGTAAAGTAAAAGTTCTGTCTTAATAATAGAGGTAAGTTTTAAATGTATGTACATTTGAATGGTGTCTCTGCCTACCCTGGAATGAGCAGAGAAAGTGTGCAATAACAATATCTACACAGTGAGTATATGGGAACACACACCATAATATACGTGATAAAGAGACACTTAGAAAAAGTTATCGGATCGACTGGCAATTACGAGTATGTAGATTTGATGTCAGATTTTTGTATTAAGGTTATTATAGTTCATAATCGTAACTTTCTATGGAACTTATCACGCCATGTAAAGTAAAATAAGGCATCCTCGTTATTGTCAATTGTAGAACTTGATATATTTGGAGACTTCAGCATCAAGAAGACTCACTCGTGTAAGTTTCAGACATAAGTAACTTGACAAAATCCATAGTCAACTTCTGAAGAACACTTAAGAAAACAATAAAGAAGTTTTCAACTAAATACTACAACGATATAAACCTCAAACAGAAATCAAACTCGGTATAACTCCGCTAACTGCTCATACTTGGCAGAAACTTGAACGACACGAGGTTCTTGGCAGACAGACGAAGTTGGGATATGAATGTTTTTATTTATACCATTACATAGAAGACTTGCAACATTTTAGTTATTGTAACATAACAGAACATCACGCCTTTTATCCCCGAAGGGGTAGGCAGAGGTGTACATTACGGCACTGAATGCCACTATACAATGTAACACCCACTTTTGACTATTTATGTTATGAGTCCCATGTAATAGAGGGTGAGCCTATTACCATATACCGGGCACAATTCCAGACTCCGTGCTACTACTAAGGTTTGTTAAAAAGCCCTGTAATACTTTACCCGAACCTGGAATCAAACCCGAGACCCCTTGCCCGACAGTCGCAATTGCGACCACTTGGCCAACGAGGCATTTAGTTATTGTAATTGGTTGTAAATAAATAAACGCAGGTGTTAACCTATAACAAACACATTCATTGTGTGATTCATAAATCCATGCAGTTCCTATTTTAAAGTAATTTTCGAATAAAAAGAATATCTATCGACAAATCAATCCCATATAGATTCCTTTAAAAGAAAATGCAGTTACTGAGCAACCTCCATGGAAGAGCCTTGCTTCAGCACGAATGGGCCGGCTTAACCGGAGTGATACAACAGCCGAGCAGAAAACCGACGTGAAACAACGCATGCGTTGTGTTTTGCTGTGTGAGAGAGGTTACCGGAGGCCCAATTACTCCCCCCCCCCTCCAGTCTTCCGAATGCCTCACAATCCTTAAATTCCCAATTCCCAAAAGGCCGGTAACGTACTTGTAACGAATCTCGTTTTTCAGGTGTCTATGGGCGGCGCCGATTGCTTAGATGATCCGTCTGCTCGTTTACAATATCCCATAAAAAATCTTTTTGTGAAATTACAAGAAATTAAACTAAAAAAACTTAACCCTACCGAAATTTAAGCACCCTGTGAGTTAGGCAATAAAATCCAGACATTGTAATGACAAGTAGGCACAGACTGTGTCCTAGACGGCTAGACCTGGCTGCAGGCAGACTGATCCCCTTGCCAACTGTACAACTATTGAGACGGCTAGACGGAGCTAACGAGCTAGCTTCCTGTCACCACTTCCTATGTACTATGTACATAGGTAAAGGTTATAAAGGTAAATTAAGTTTAGGACATTGAAATGAAATCATGCATGTTGCAGTTATAGTATTCAATATATATAGGAGGAATTAAGTTACAATGTTCTTTAAAAAAATATTTAAGGCTTATGGAACATTATACGTTATGTCTTCTATTCTCTGATATGTCCTATCAGAGAGCAGAGGTACTATTGATAAGTTATGTGATAACTCCCATACACTAGGCACATTTCTAAACCTCGAATTCATCGTAAATAGGTAATGTAGTGGTAGGTAGATACCGTTACTATTTAAAAGGTCCAGAGAGCTAACCAAGCGACCTCCAGACAATACCTAAATATTGTAATTTAAAAAAGTTGAAAAATAGCTAAAAACATAGGTACTTTACTTACTTATATGAGAAAGCGTAGCCGACAAGAGAGTACCCGCTACGGATTTGCTACGAAAATCATTTTTAAAGAGTCCATGTTTTAATATTGTGTAATGTTGTGTAATTAACACATGACGTATGTAACATAATTATATACTGCCTCATTTACCTCAAATTATACACTACCGAACAAATGCCAATACGTGCCTAATAACCTGTCTATTTAGCAACGCTTTGCTCCCCAACCCTTGCACTGACAACCCAGAAATTGTGACCCCAAGCGAAAATATTAATTAAACATATTTAACCCTGTGCGCGCTCGTTACCCATAAGTTGTGTGTCTCGGTCATTATGCCCATTAGGGGTGTATCAACCACTTGATTAATGAACTCCACAGCGCCGCGGGAAGGGTTGACAAAGAATAAAAAGTTGTTCGTTTTTTCCTGGTATTAATCATTCGTTGTCAAAGGGCTCGGTTGTAATGTGATGACAAATTGCCTTCGGAATCAATCCGGAAGAAAATCCGGGAATTTCGTACCCCCTTCGAGGTAATTTTTCTAAGTATGTTTGGTTGGCATGTTGACTGTTTGTGTCTTAGGGTTAAGTTTGTGTGTCAAGACGACGAAAGCTTTTGGTAAACTACTTAAGAACATAGTTGGGTAAGTGTACTTGTCTACTCAGCTTCGCACCATATAGTGGTGTTCAAAGCAAAATGTACCTACTGAATACTCAAATCAAAATGTATCTTATTTTTTTTTTTTTTTTTTTTTTT